TGCCTTTGTTCCAAGCAGTACCATTATTTTCGCTAGTTGCGAACTTAGGAATGTTAAACGTTGCCAAATTTCGGAATAATTTCTACTCCTCAAATAATATTCCAAGAAAATGATTTTTTCTATAATATGTCTGAAAACTGTGCTGCGGCCTATACATATATATGGTATATTGCAGGAATTTTTGGTAGTAAAGATTGGGTATTGAAAAATAAGTTTTATAGACCACAGAAGGGACAGACAGACAGAGGTTTTACTTAAATATTAAGTAAAAGAAACAAAATACTTTGTTACTAATATTAATAAATTTTTATAAATTCTGTACACATATTAAAAAAGATGATGGTTCTGCAAGATAAGAACCTGAATGCCAGCAGAGTATTTCACCATTTCTAAGAACAAACAACTGTAAAACCCAAGGGATATAAATCTCCAGTCAGAAGTGAGTATCAAGTGGCAAAATGGAACATTACAACTGGAACTAACTCCTCCAGGAAGCCCTGACTTGACGTGTAAGCAAAGAAATGCATCAACCAATACGACTAAGGAAACTTCAGAAATATATCACTAAAACTGTAAAGGAACTCGTTAGGACAGCGACGGCTTCAAAGGTCAGTTCTTATTGTTGTTACAATTGTTACCACATACACACATTCTCATGACATTATCATGGAACACTACAAGAATTCTTACAAAATTCATATAAATTAATATATACCAGCATGCCCATGTAGAAAAATCTGCACAGCACTTACAAAAAAATATTTTTGTTTTTCATGGTGGTTACTTACATTTCACACTTGTGTGTTCTTGAACTAAAAAGAAACATATTTTTGTGCCTTTCAGGACACAATTCTTATGCCTCAAGCTGTATACAGCAAATTATATTCTCACACTAATACGACCCATCTTCAGAACATAAAATTGTAGTATAGTATTTGTAACTACTTGAACACACAAAGTAAGTTATCTTGAAAAAACAAATATGAAACTACACCATGCCATAATCTTGCCTAAACATGTTTCGTTACCATGATTACTATAAAATATACCCAGGTTATGCCCTCATTGTCATCAAGGTCCCAATGCTTTTCTTATACAGAAAGGAATTGGGAAACTGATTTTGACTTTAACCCATGCAGTAGAAACAAAATTATCAAAATTCTCACAGGGCTGTCTCTTCAAGAGGAACATTTTTATCTTGAAACATTTTTTTCTATAACTTGTAGTCTAGAAGAAATAGAGCAGGATAGACAAATAAAAAGACACACAGACAATTGGCTATTTATATCACAGTAAGGCACTTGACTGTGTTGATCAATTAGGCACTTAGTAATATCACATAATACTCCAAATGTCAAACACAAGATTTGCTATTTATCCTGCATCTATTATCTGAACACAGGTGCATCATTCTCAACTAGTGACGTAGACTATGATGTCACCATTAGAAAATTTCTAGATTCTACTTTGAACACACTTTCAGTATTCATACAAGAATGAGAAATTATAACACCAAATAAATATATCTCTCACCATGACAGAAAATATGTATTTATGTAAGATAATCTGAAATCTGTATATACATACTGTCACATGTACAGGGGGCACACATGACAAAATGACAGGTTCTAGTTCAGATTATTGGATTTATTAGCACTTTGGTTATACACTCTCAGTATTACACATAAACACAGTCTTCAACTAGCACTTTAAATTCTTCAAAGGTCTTCTACAAACTTCCTGTTGCTGTCACTCTTAAACACTCAAACAATCTCAAATACTACTGCACTATGACACATGTAAAGTCTTGGAATCACACAATAGGTCTTCATTGGCTGATTTCTCAGCTATCACTCACTATCACTATTACACTCATAAAACCTTCAAATCACACTTTACATCCTCACAGGCCATCCTCCTGTATTCTTGTGTAGTCCCAGTTCCACTCCATTTGCTTCTGCCACTAGTTCCACTACTCTCGTCATGTAGCTTCGAATCGGACAATGTGGAAACGTCACGATCACCAGTACTGCTGCATCATCCAAGCGTCAATGACATCATCACAGTGAATCACATAGGAACCACGTCAACATGTCACATGATATCCCCTCCACTGGTGCAGTATGACATCATTGTACATGCGCAGAAGTCTGTTTACTGAGCCAGCTTTAGAAGCGGAATGCATAACTTCATTCCACTGTTGTGTAACTTAGCAACTGATTGTTTATCAAGAGTTGGTCTTCATGGTAGCTTGTTCAACATCTTGCTGCCTAGCAACAGGTTGACATGTCACACGACAGTATAATAAAATTATATTACTTTTGATAGGAGTTACCTTATTACCTTCATTTAGAAATAATGTGTTTTAACTCCATTATGCAGCATTGAGCATTTATAATTTCTTTTCAAAATTTTTCTTGCTAAAGGTACACCAATTCTGAAAACCTCTAAAGTCTGCCACAAAGTTATTTTCCTGATATTGTGAATGCAAGTAAGAGCTCCACTTTTTGTCAGCAACTCCAGTGACATGTATTTTCTTAAAATCCTCCTACCAAGAAGATTTTCTGATACCATTAGCAGCATTTATTCACCAGGTGCAAAAGCTCTTTCCAATTTCTCTGAGTTACACCGTATAAACCGTCATTAAATACGTCAATATCTCACATGTCAGTCATTTATACTGCATGAACACACTGCACATGGAACTAATTTAAATATGTAATTTGGGGTAGTATTAAAATGTTTTGGGTGCATGTGACAGCATAGTTAGTTGGGACACTACACTGCAAACCAGTAGGTCACAGGTTCAATTCCTGATGAGGTCAATGTATTTTTTTCAATTGACCTAACCCTTCCTGCTGCACTGTGACCCTGTGGTTGACTCAGCCTCTACCTGAAATGAGTACCAGGACTCTTCCTGGGAGTAAAGGGCAGCCAGCATGTAAAGCTGACAACCTTACTGTCATCTGTGAGCCAATTGTCTAGAAAATGTGAGAGCCTCAATGTCTCACAACCCTATGGACGTCCACCACCTGTTACACAGATAGCTTTATCTTTACCTTTTGTTTCAAACATTTAATGACCAAGCCGTGGGAAATGTCAGAACCATATGGGATCAAACTCAGAACCTCAACTTACAAATCCACAACCTTTCCCCTCAGCTACCAAGATGCCATACCTAATAAGGAAATTAGCCTCAAGCCATACCTATGCCTATACTTCACAAAGGGCCACTAAATGAAACGGCAAGAGATATGTCTCCTTACTTTCTAACTGCTCTCCAAGCAAACAACTCCACACCATCTATAAATACATAAATGAGTCATACACACCAAGATGGCTGACACTTGTTTTAATAACTCTCCTCATTCTGGTGTTTATATTATGTACAATACAGGATAAATACTAAAATTTAAGGTTCCATGCTTAACACCAGAAATATATTTAACTGCCTCTTAAAAGAGCTTACACTACACAAATATACTTCAAAGTAGGTTACTTCAGTGAGTGCCATTAGAGCTATATAGCTGTTTTCTTCCAACAGTAGCTCCACCCATTACAAAGCCACAGTAGATAATTGCTGTTTCAGTCAAGATAACAGAAGGAAGAAAATGTGGAATATCTAAGAAGAATTAGTAAAAGTAAAACCCACATAAACTGCTGATCTTTGGAATTTCTGTTGCACTTTTATGGAGTTTCTTCATTGTAACACAGAGTACAACATTTACAAATATAAATATGTTGACTTCATTAAAACTGGGGGAAAACTGTTCTACCCATAAACAATGGTCCTTATGAATGGCATGCTGGGAGACCACAGTGAACACAATGGACATTCTACCATACAGCTGCCTACACAAGGTTTGATGCACTGGCGTTCAATTAACAGAAGGGGGATACTGAAGTCTTATGTTCTCAGAGTGATTGACAAATGTGAAAGACCTAATCATGTACGCAATAATTCACATTCAGTACATTTCTTTTAGCATACAATGCATACATGCATATATTCCTAATACACCTTTCTGTAAGTCTGGGTCTTGGTGTGAAGATGACTTCATCATCACACATAACCCAGAGAGAGAGAGACAGTAATGAATATTTAAATGCTGTGCTGCCTGAAAATAATTTACAATAATACTTTCTTAACTTTACACCATTTGCACAAAGACTTTATTTCTCAGGTACAGTTCTAGATTAAGGCATTAAGCTTGAAAGTGTAGAAGGCAAATCATATACAGCATATCACAGTATAATTATGTAATTCAGTCTGACTGTATGAGGAAAGCTTTGTTACGCTAATACACATTTCAACTACAGCATGGATAAAAGAAATCTGGCAAGGATGTCATCAATACTTTCTCTCATCAAATCCAAATTTCACTTTCCAAAATTGTGTATTTCATATATTCTGCCTTATACAGTCATGTAATAATAAATATAGTTTTCTCCTTTCTTTTCATTATTTAAAAAAATTAATTCTTGGAAGAACACTTAAAAATTAAATCATACCAGAACAATTGAGCTTGGACTTGTATACAAACATATTCCACATTGTGAGATCTGAGGTTCTCATGAATAGTATTATCTTCCTGGATGTGATGCCATGTAGTCTGATAAATGGTTACTGATGTTTCAGCTTGCTGTTTGCTTGTCTGCTTGCTGGACTTGCTCTTCACCCCTGAAGATGGATGCAGTATGTTCCTTTCAAATATCAGCAAACGTTTACCAGACTATATGGGGTCACTCAAAAGATAGTACCCTTCATGCTCCATTTTCCATCTTTCTCTCAAGTATGATCACATGTGAAAAGAAGTCTCTTAAATTAAACCAATACTGATTTAGGCGAATTATGTACATGACATAATCACATTTAATTTATCTAAAAATCACATCTTTCAAATACTGGTGTGCCTTGCATTTGGCTTTGTGTAACTAAGGCAGTGTGACAGCAGTGCTGATGAACACTTACATCATGGCACAGACATTGCAACATGTACCTGTTCCTTGTGCTGTTGTTGAAGTGTGAACACTTCTGATGCGTAATTCTTCTGCAGTTCTGTCTCGCGTACAGCAAACTGCTCTTCCATATAAAGTTTAAGGCGAGTTACAGCTTGTTGATGTACCTCTTCCAGTTTGGAGCGGAACATTTCTAACCTCTCCCATTCACCATTCTGATTACTCTCGGTTGCAGAATGAGCCGAATGCTGAGTCAGAATCATTTTGGAGTTTACTTCAACCTAAGATAAAATCAATTAATGCCATTACACTGTAAAGGGACAAAGTATAAGAAACTCTTACCTTCAATCTGAATTTCAGAACATCAACATAATTTAATGCATTACAGTTTTCTGACTTTTGAGAACACTGTAATGAACCTCTGAGTTCCATAAATCACAAGGAACTTCGTGACTAGCTGATCAACTATTAGCTTCTCAAGACGGGCTCTGTTCCATGCAGTCAGTCAGTCTGCTAAATCCTTCATATCAAGATGCCATGACACATATGGATACAAGACTACAGTCCTCTTGGATTTGATGCCATGTAGTCTGATGGGCATGCAAAAATGCAGCCCTCTAGAACGTACAATTTGGATTATAAGGCATAAAACAAGGTCTTTCCTTGCAAGGCAGATAAGACTGAAAGGTTTCAAGAACACAAAGCATTGGGGACTTTACTTGGGCTTAAGGAAGAGGAAGTAACAAAGAGCTTCTTAGAGCAACTTAGAGCTCCCATCTACAATTGGTTACCATGAATGTAGAATGCTATACAAAGTACAGTATAATTGTGGAATTTGATGTATGAATGTAAACAAGGAATAGCCATTTTGTTCATCTGACTGGCTTTTAACTGGTTATATTTAATGGTGAACTCTTAATGTGGGGCTGCATTTGTAGGTTGTTGAAATAGTAAGGGGAACATTTTACTAATTTCTGATAATTATGCTCATCCTATGGTGAAGGTAAAAAGGTAATGCTGTCCTCGTGCTTAATGAAGCACCATGCTATGAAGACATACGAGGGAGTAGAGGTATAGCTCCACCACTCTAAACCTCTGTGCCAGGTGGAGGTGAGTGGTCAGACTTACCCCAGAGAAACAGCCTGGAGTGTCCCCTGTACAGAGAGCTGGCAGGGTCCCAAAACCAGTAGGGATGCTATGCAGAGGATAAAAATATCTTGCCCTGTCAGAATTGAACACCAATTCTTGGGTTATCCAGGCCACAGCCTGGTCACTATACTAACTGACCTATCCTAGCTCCACTCATCTTATGAAGTTAAAAATGAAATTCTGATAACACTTGTAATCATAAAAACTACTTTGTACTCTTAAATGAACAAGCTGAGTAAAAAGAGTTTTCATACACACAAGAATATACAGAATGTCTAAAAGAGTAATCCACTTCCATACACAAATGAGAACTTTATCAATAAAACATATAAATACTTTATTAATGTTTTCATGTGGGCCATTTTAAATCCAGTGTTTACATGACAACCTCTTGACTGATCCAACTGAAAGAACAAATTATACTCATATGATGATGAATTTGTGAGCTTACACAAGCAAAGTAAACATCTTAACAACTAGAAAGAATATGAACACAATAACTTCATATAGTAAGCTGGTGCAATGGACACAAACCATTAATCAGGTCCCCGGTAAAATAATAATTGAACTCCCTTGAATTAGCACATTCTTGCACCAACTACTATAGTTTCTGAACACAAATTACAGTGCAACCACGATGTATATGTATGGCTTATAATGAGGACTTCATCAGAGTGATAAACACTACTGGCATCATCATTTTCTTAACATTACCCACATGGAAAACTATCACATAAAATAGGGCCTTTTCCAACACCATCACAAGTAATTCACCCCAAGTCACCACTGCTTTCCCATAAATTGTTGCACAAACACGAGTTGGAATGACATGTGACTTGCAAGCATGCAGCAAAGAATGAGAGGAACTTTAGCTTGTAAGGTACAGGATCCAACTAGCAGTCTGCTGAGAGCAGAAGAGATCATCAGTTCAGAAAATGCTAATGATGATAAAAACATTGAAATATTCTTCATTATATTCATATCCCTGTGACAACCACTATAAAGATGAAGAAATATTACTGCACCTGCATTATCGCTCAAACTCTCAGTGCCATGTTCCATTTTACATAACTGCACATTAGAAGATGGACTTATGGTATGCATTTCAACAATTTCTGTATATTACAAGCATTCATTCAAACAAGCATTTTTCAAATTTTTCAAAAACTTTTCAAATTTTACATAATGTAACAGTTATGGATGTTAAATAAATCAATCAATCAATCAATCAAAATTTAAAAAACTCTTGTAATATTGATGTTTGCACTGCATATAACAAATTACAGTCTACTTCTCCAATATCACAAACAAAAAGGACCAGAGACAAGTACATTCTCATTTCAAGCAAAATCTGTAGGTCTGTCATATTCAGCGGTATGTTTCAGCGATATCTGTATATTTTGCATACAAAGAAAATTCTAACTCAACCCCCAAAATTCTTGCTACACTAAACCACCATTCATGCACAAACCTGCTTGGCTTTGAGTTCCAGTTGCCAGTGTCGGATACGCAAATCACGGTCACATATCTCCGATTCTAAAGTCAACTTTTGCATCTGCAACATATCTTCTTGGTCACGAAGGCAGTCCTCAATCTCATGTAGATCCTGCTCCAACACACGTTTCTGGCGTGTCAGCTCCTATGGCAACACATCAACTTGCAATACAGAGACACACGTAATTCACAACATAGTAAGGAAGGTCTTGGCAACTCAAAGTGTATTTTTTTAAGTATTTTCAAATTCATAACCTTAAAAGCTAAGTTTTCTGACACTTATTTGCATGCCTACCATTCATCAGGACCTCAAAACTGGACTGACATTTACATACTGAAGGACACTAGACTTCCTTCATTATTATTTATTGAATCCTCTTCTGATGTTTATAGGTAACCTGGAATTGTGAGGACAATAGATGCCAGGAGGTTAAAATGGACTGGCTATGCATCTCAAAGACAAAAAGAAATTAATAAAGAAGGTGAGGCAACCTCTTGAAAACAGAACATGAGGATAACAAGAAAATGGAAGTTAGACAGATATACTGTGGGTTTGCTACAGGCAATGTTGGAAACTTCAATAAATGAGATGCAAGGTTATACTGGCCGTACATATTAAGATTACAATCTTCTGAGCTAGACTAGTAAAGAAGTATCAACATTTCAGAGTATATTCTACCCTGAAGATGGAGGCTGAAAGTTTCTCTGAAATAGCAGTACCTATCTAACAAGTTATATGACACTGTCACACAAGACAATAATCTTGAAGCTTCATGTTCTAGTAACAAAGAAAGTTGCTTTATAAATACAAGAACAGTCTCACCTGAAATATGTTATCCTTTTCCAGCATTTGGCTTTCCATCATCTGCATCTTGAGCTGCGCACTCTTCAGTTCCACTCTCTCATTTTCTAACATTTTCTCTACTGCACTCTTCTCCTAATTGAGAAACATACTGATTCACATCCTGCTTAATACACAGAAGAATTATAAAAAGTATGTGAAGTGCTGGCTACAAGATGGATGACCAGGGTTTAATTCCTGGCAGGAACTTTTCTCCTCGACACCATGCCCACTCCAGCCTCATACCAATCAGTACCACAGGCTCTTACCCCAGAGGTAAAGCAGTCAAAATATGATACTATCCACCACCACCCAATGCTGAGGTTAAAAATATGTGGAGCTTAGCCTTCACCCCTACATGTCTTCAGGAAACACTTATTTAGAGTGAAGTTATGTTGATGAATTAGGAAGTACTGGAGAGAAAATAGTCATAGCAAACTTTTTAACACTTGCCTGGAGGAAATAAGCAAACTTTTCAAAAGGGCTTGCTTTAAAAGCATGCAAGTGCCATGATCTTCAAATTCAAACAAGATAACTGTAACTCAAGTTTAGCATTCTTAACTAACCACCTCAGAGTCAAACCACAAAAATATGGCTGTAATAGTATGGAGTGTAAACTTAATAGGTTTATTTGCCAGAAGGAATTATAAATGACATACCAACATCTGTGTTCTTCAAATTATTTATAATACAGAAAACTTGATCAGGAAAAGATAATGCATGTTTGTAGAATAGTGGTGGAAGATTAAATACATATAAATTGTTTAATATTGTACACGTTCTGACCCATTAAAGATCAATTTTTGTAACCTTTCTTCTCCATTTTAATTAATTATTGAGATAGCTGTCTTACATAATTGTACATAAGAGAATCATATCAGCAGCTATGAGGGTAGAGTTTGTGATAGGATATCAAACATAATACTATGAGGTCAGTGGCGTGATATCACTGTTCTAAACGTTCATGCCGCAACAGACGATGAAACTGACAATATGAAGAACAGCATCAATAAGGAAGCAGAATGTGTATTCAATAAATTCTGTACAGACCACATAAAAGTTCTGTTATAAGATTTCAATGCCAAAGTAGGTAGGGAAGACTCTTCTAAACCAACAACAGGGAATGAGAGTTTCCATGAAATTAGTAATGATTATGAGTTATAGTATTAAACTTTGCCATATTAAAAAAATCTGATTGTCAATAGTACAATGTCCCTGCATTATAACATTCATAAATTAACCTGAACATCTCCCATTGGAAACACTCACAGTCAAAGTGACACTATTTTGATAGACAGGACACAGCATTCAAGTGTCCAACTGTTCAGGGGAGCAGACTACGATGCCGACCATTATCTGGTGGTGGGGAAAGTTAGGGACAGACTGGCAGTGAGTATACAAAAACACAGATATTTCATATGGAGAGGTTCAATCTCAAGAAATTAAATTAAGTAGAAGGTAAAGAGCCATATTAAGCTGAAATCTCAACATATTTGCAGCTTTGGAAAACACATATGCTGAAGCTGATACTAAAAGAGCATGGAAAACTATCAGAGAGAACATCAAAATTTCAGCCAAAAAGAGTCTAGGTTATTATGAACTGAAGAAGCATATGCTGTGGTTCAATGAAGGATGCTCAAAATTATTAGATCAAAGAAAACAAGCCAAACTGCAATGGTTACAGGATCCAAGTGAAATAAATGGGGATAATCTGAACAACATAAGACAACAAGCCAGCAAATAAAAGTTTACATTCAGATTAGTCTCTGAAATTATCAGCTTTAAGATCTGGTTTATGGATGAACTAACCTTAAATTTTTGCAGCAATTCTTGTTTCTGTCTGAATAATGTCTCCTGCAGAACTCCAGTAGAACCCACCAGTTCTGCCAGGCTCATGTGCTGCTCTCGATATGCTTGCAATTCAGCCATTAGGTCCCTTTGCTGCTTGTCCAGATTTGACATCCAACTTTCCACCTGCTCATGTCCTCCTGCCTGCTGAATTATGTGAAAAAGGATTCTATATATATATATATATTGTCGCGCATTGGGCGTATAACGCGACAAATAACTTCACGCCGTATTTTATATAGCGAATCTTATTTCACATTCGCACTTACAATCACCCAAATTACAGATTTACGATTACTGCTATCTGCAGTATCACAATTAGTACACTCCAAATGCCACAATACAACTGACTGGTTCCTGGCTAACTCGGAACAAACTCGGAGGTAGCTCGAGGACTGACTAGTGTCCACTGGGCAGGCCAACATCTCTTCCTGCCAGGCATTGAAGTCGGCGTCTGCTTTTATTTGGTTTGCCCTAATTTCTTTCAGCATTTCTTCCTTCTCCGCCTTCCTTTCTTCCTTCTCTTTCCTCCTAATTTCCTCCATCTCTTCCTTCTCTTTCCTCCTAATTTCCTCCATCTCTTCCTTCTCTTTCCTCCTCTCTTCCACCCTATCAGCTTTCTCTCTGGCCGCCATTTGCTCCTGGGCGAACAACAGACGTTCCATCATCTTTTCCATGTCCATGTTGTAGCAGTAAACCACTCGATGCACAATAATTCAATTTGTGGCGTGTTTAAGTTCGTAACACTTCTGATACCAATGTAACGTGTTTTGCGTTCGAAGCTCGTTGGTCACGTGTGTAAGTTCAAATCCCACTTCTGACACCAATTGTCGCGTATTGGGCGTATAACGCGACAAATAACTTCATGCCATATTTTATATAGCGAATCTTATTTCACATTCGCACTTACAATCACCCAAATTACAGATTTACGATTACTGCTATCTGCAGTATCACAATTAGTACACTCCAAATGCCACAATACAACTGACTGGTTCCTGGCTAACTCGGAACAAACTCGGAGGTAGCTCGAGGACTGACTAGTGTCCACTGGGCAGGCCAACATCTCTTCCTGCCAGGCATTGAAGTCGGCGTCTGCTTTTATTTGNTGGACAATTGTCATCTGGTGCCTTGTTGCTAGCCACACTGTCCGGAGTTGTTGACTGCTGCCTAGCAACCGCGATATCCCTCGGTGACGTCACTGCTGTTGATTCGCTTTGCACAGCTTCATGGTCGCGGGGACTCGGCTAACGTCGGCTCCGCTCGGCTCACTTCGGCTCCGCTCGTGACGTCACCGAGCGTTGCGCGTTGCATAGCTACCAGGATGCGGGGTGATTACTTGCCTATTACGCGAGCACTACGTTACAGCTACGTGCAGCTGGGGAGGTAGGGGTCAACATGTCACAATATATATAATTTGAGGTCCTTACTGTGGTGATTACTCATATTGTGGTGTTCTGGATATAAGTCCATGCAGTCTGGAAGGTGGACACAGTATGTTCTACTGAGACGTGACACCCACTTACCAGAGTACATGTCATAACCCAGAACACAGTAAGAATCCAATAATCCGTAAAGCCAGCCTAAGCAAACTACTTCCCTGGAACAGAGACAGTCTTGAGAAGCTGACAGTCACTCTGCTAGTCAAGATATTCATCATCTTTTATGAAACCCAAAGGTCTCCTACTTTTGAACATACAATCTGGATCCAGCTGATGTATGTAGAAAGAACTAGGCTACCTGGTGGATTAACAACTGCACTCTGGTGACAAAAATTAGAAAGCTGTTTCCTCACATGGGCTATTTTATGATACTGTCAGTATCTAGACTATACAGCATCAAATGACATGATGATGATCAATGGTCACTTGGAAGGGATTTGGGGCTGAAGTGATCATGGTGCAATCACAGCATTATCTGGCTATTTAGGGAAACCATGAACAAGTCAGTCATGGGAAGTTGTGTCCTGGCCAAGATTCAAACCAAGCACCTCCTGAATAAACGTCTATAGCATTAATGCTACACCAACTGGTGCAGTTGAAACTTTAATACAGATTCCTCAGTACAGTTTACCTCAGGTAAACCTGATAACAAATTTATGCAGGATTCATCGGAAGACACTGACGCCACTGTTCCAACAAATCAAGTGAGGCACCAAATAAGAAGTAAAGATACTGTCATAGTTCATAAGTTCACTGCATCCAACCTTCATTCAAGTCACATTCTTGCACTTCATATGAATGCAGAGTCCATCATCTGACTGCTTTTACTGTTCTTTACAAATGATTAAACATTGCTTTACAAAAAATTCTGTTCATATGACACGCATCCTGCTTCTTAATAAGGATGTCCAAAGTTCAAGAACTGAGCCTGAAAACTGTCCATTCCAACTAAAATTTTTCATCTTTCCTCAGTCATACCAGGCAAATAACAGAATAAAGCCTTAAAATAGGCCATAACAGCTTCATTACACAATTCAATTATCACCCTCTGATTGACAATACATGATTAGCCATATGTTAAACTGTCACTACTTAAACATACAGTACTGTTTCATACTGTCAAGTGCACAAGGAGAGGTGGAATCATTGGCATGTGCTGCTTCATGCCCCCCACCGATGGTTCTGGAACTAGAGAGTCCAAGGCTGGCTAAGATCCTGCAAGAATGCTTAAAAATTACTTCATCAGAATAAAAGCGTGTGGAGTCCACAAGTTCAGTCACTCTAAACAGAAGTGGCAGTTGAGCGGTGTGTAGCATTCATATGTGGTGAATCAGCGTAATGAAATGTAAGTTTGTGAATGCATGTACAGTGGAAGGGTGATGGACTAGACAAGCTACTGAGTGACTACTGAAAGGCTGAAAATAACTGCTCCACCAAAGTAAAAAATTACAACTGGTGCCAGAAGTCAGACTGAAGATGTATTATGACTGTAGGCAGTTTTGGAGCAGTTAAATAAGATAAGCGGTAGCCAAGACAGACTGTGAGAGGAACTCAAAAATAATATTTCCAAAGACAAAGAGGAACTTGAAACAGACATAGGTGCCAGAGAAGACAATCTTGAAGAGGCCAAAAGAGCCAGTCAAGATGAACTCAAAACAATATATGTCCACCAAGAAGAATTTTGAAGCAAAATAAGTGATACAAAGGCTGGCCATAGTGACTCTGAAGAAACAATAAGTCACATAAGACGAATTGGTGCAGAACATCATGACAGCACTTCAGCAGTCCAGTGAGGAAATGAATACATAAATAGGGATTATAATATAGTGGCTTATCATGCTTCCAGATTGAAATGTTCATATTAGCAGTTCACTCCTCTAGAGGTGAGACAAAGTTTGCTTCCACTACGCTCATTTATTTGCTACACTTTTCATAACTCCTGTAACTTTACCCTCACATTCTACAATAAAACTACGCAAAAATTCTGTGGATTGACACAAATAACTGCCATCTTTTTAGGTTTTCAAAATGGTTTTGTTACACTACAGTATCTTGAACAATTTTACATATATATATTGTAGCATGTTGGGGGGTACATGTGACAATATATTAGCATCTTGGTTACACTCTCTCTTAATGACACTTAAATACAGTGCTATCGCTGAGTTACATACACCCCATAATTCACTGTTACATGCACACACTAGCCCTATCCAGGTAACATATCTCAACACAGAAATTAGAGCTTCAGGTCACTCCAAATATTGCACATAATTAAGGACTTCAGATCACACTTTAAATCTTCACAGATCTCCTGCGAACTTCCCGTTGCTGTCACTCTTACTGTTATTTAAACACATTCAAACGCTCTCAAATACTCTCAAATATTCCCCTCTATTCTGTCTCTAACTGAAATTATATAGCCTCTGCACTGACCACGCAGAAAACAGCCTATACTGTTGAAACGTGTTTACCAACCGATCGCACCGCAATGGTCATGGTACCGACCACACAGAAAACGCTGGACTTCCACTGATACCTTGCGTGTATTCGGTCATGCAGTGTTCAATGGTCAGTTACCTAGCAACGCTGTGTCCATCGACATTAAAATATAATAGCTATTTCAACAAAAGGATATACAGAAACAATATAATACTGAACTTAAATCTATTGAACTTACAGCATTACAGATTACAAAACCACCGAAAGGCTACCATTTATATCGTTGTACCTGCAGAACCTTTAACATGTTAAATCAAACTGTGTTTGCAGAAAACAGATTTATATTACAGAATCACATACCAGAATGCATTCTGTGCTACAGGGGATACAAAACATCTGTAATTGAATTGAAAACATACCTGCAACTTTCCAAAAAGCTGCTGCTGATTCCTAAGTTTATGAAGAAGAGACTCTTTCTCAGCAATCAGCTCTGTATTGCTCTTAAGAATAAGTTCCAGCTTTTGCTGTAATTCAAGCATGCCGCTGTTGCTACTGTCATTGCTGTTCACATCTGTCACTCCCAAACATATCATCGCACTACCACTATTCTGTACCAGTTCCAATTCCTGAGCAAGTTTCTCACTGCGACATTGCTCATCCTGCAGGGAACTTTTGAGAGCTTGTACTTCAGTTGCAAGTTCTTCCAACATACTGTGCATCTCCTGTTGTGTTGATACTGGAAATTAATATATTAACATTTAAATTACACTTTAAAATTAAAATAAGATTAGGATAAATACCTAGCTGAAAATTATCAATAAAAGGATGAGATAATTTGTTTAATATTTATCAGTGATATCCACTTCACCACCAGGGCAGCAAGCTGACAGATGTTTTTGAAAAAGTATATGGAAATAAATTTAACAAATACCTTGTGGTATGTCCACTGAAAGCCATAATATAAATCAAAAGGGACATGCATTACTGGGTTACAGCACAATAAACACCATGACAGGTTAGCAATAGTTTGGTTAGGGAGTGGTTAGCAGTCTGCAGACAAGGAGGAGTTTCAAGAGTCCAATAAGTCCAATTACCAATTCAAACCCTGTGTCTGGTCACTAAGTATGTAAAAACATTAAAATGTTTTTGAAACGGGCTCTTACGGCTGCTATTTCAGAGAAGAACAGAATACTGTATGATTTCACATCTTCTACTATTGCGATAAAAATAACAATAAAACTGAATACGATGGTACTGCAACTGAAATGGATCATGTGTGATCTGAGGTTCTCAGAGCAGTAATTGTGAGGATTATTTCCTCCAAGATTTCAGCCTGTGTAGACTACAAGACATCACATACCTCAGCATTCAGAGCCACTACACCGCTTAAGTGCACCCTCCTGCCTCAAATGCATGTGTGTGTGTCTGTGTGCATGCACAGCAACCCCCCCCCCA